ACTGATGTAATGTTAAGAATGGATTAGGGATTTCAAGTCAGGTGACAGGTTGAGTTGGGAAAATGGTTTTTGGCCTTTTCCTTTGTCAATGGATGTGCCTTTGCCATCACCATGCAACCATTTGGAACCTTTGTTAAAATTATGAGGAGAAAAGGAAACTTTTCCTCAAAATATTTTTCTACCGTTGGCATTCTACCATTGCCATGATAAATATACAAATCTACAGTCACTACAGTGTGAAGGGCACCCCCTAGAGTTATGCACTGTACAACCTGCACTGTAGTGATATTGATGAATACATGTCCATGGGCTATCTGTGTTTATAGTGGTTTGAAACCACTGTAAAGATAAAATAGTTTTTAAGCATTTTTCTGAACAAAGAGGGTAGACAAAAAAGAGAGTAGACATTGTGAGAGGGCAGTGCTCATTGTCATCTACCCCTGGCTTTTTAAAACCTAGTAAGTTAGGCCACACTTACCAGTTTTACCTTCACCCCTCTTTAAACAATCATTTTTGTTAACTTGAGCTGCAGCAGAGACTCCAGACATACCCAGAGAGAAATCCAGATGATATCCAAGGCATCTCTTTATATCTGTTAGTTCCACACCTGTTTAATGTATTTATTTGAAAATTGTTAGACAATATCTATTACACCACAAATAAATTACAATTTTGCTATTTTGTAAGAAACATGCTTAGATTCTTAGACATCATTACTGAATTCAAATGCAAGGTCATGTTTATTCTGCTTTGTCCTCATATTGGAATCTAGTGGACTCCTTTTGACTTTGCTTGTCAACTTAATGGCAAACCACATTAAATTTACCACTTGGTTAAAAGGGATATAGGTCAGACTGGTGATTATAGTAAAGTCCTTTATCTCTAATACCATAGAAGGGGACCAGTAATGTTTAACGTGTATTGAATACTTATTACGTACCTTGCATTATTCTAAGCATTTTGCAAGCATTAATTAATTTAATTCTCACATTGGCCTTATGAGGTAAGTACTATTATTGTTCTTATTTTACAAATGAGCATATGGAATCTCAGGGCAGTTAAGTAACCTGCTGATGGCTAATTACTCAGGTAGTAGTGAGCCAGGTTTGGATTTGACTCCTGAGCTTTCTGGCTGTTAAGCACTTCTCTATATGAACTTCATAATGTAGTCATGAGATGCATCATCATCTCCTGATCCTCTTTGGAAGACTCAGTTCATCATTAAGGTAGCTGATTCATCACTTTGGACAGATTGCTTATGTATATGACAACTTTGTTTTGGTCCTATGAATGCTATTTAGTAGAAACCAATCTTGGAAGCTGACTCATTATGGTATGTATTAATAGATATCCAGGTATTAGGAAGCAAAATTCTAATATTTTCTCAAAGTCTATCATTTAGTGTCTGTTTCTTAGGTAGGCAGTGAGGACCTCCTGCCTCTCCCGGGGACAAAGGCAGGCTGAGCAATTGCCATACCTGAGGGAGGAGGGAGCACCTTATGAATCTGCCAATCAGAACTCAGTGAGCCAGCTGTAAAAGAATGCAGAGGATTCTCTACCCCGTGGGCAAAGCAGCACAAGTACGATAGGGTCTGGAATGAGACCTAGAACAACCTAAGGCTAATTATCATGTCGTTAACTTAAATCTACATTGCAGTTCACCCCCCCCAAATCGGCTTTCAGAGAGGTTCATGGGAAATCCGCATGTGCAGTTAAGACTCAGGTTATGTAACTCCCAAATGTCCATCAAAGTGGTTCAATGATGACGTTTGAACCACAAGGAGGGCCCAGCCTAGACACCATAAAACAAGACCCCAGGCCATAACCAAGGCCCTTTTTGTTATGAGTCCGTTTGTTGTCTGTGGCAAACATATCTTGTTCTTGCTCTGTAAACCTGTCTTGTCCTTCCTCAATAAACTTCGTTTCATGCTTGCCTTGCCTTTGATGTATATGGTCATTCTTTGGCCAAGAGCGCACCAAGAACTGAGAACAGACTGTGACGCTACACTTTGATTTATAAAAAGTAACAATTCCTCTGTTTTAAGGGTAAATAGCCCAGACCTCAGCTCATTGACCATATCCATTTTTGCTCTTATTTATTTCTTACCTCTGTCTCTCTCTCTCTGTCTCTGTGTGTGTCTCTCTCTCTCTCACGTACACACACACACACACACACATACACACACACACACACACATGAATATGTGATTATTTATCCTGGAAGCCAAAATGCTTTATGAAAAAAGAAAAGG